ACACACACACACACACACACACACACACACACACACACACACACAGCTGCAAGTGGATCTGTGGCTCAAGTGGTAAAGCACTTAGCCTTGAGCAAAAGAGCCAGGAGGCAGCACCCAAGCCTGAAGTTCAAGCCCCATTATTGGCATCAAAAAAGAAAAGAAAAAGAAAAAGAGAAAAAAGGGGGTGGAGGGGCTGGAAAGGTGGCTCAGTGGTAGAGTGCTTGCTTTGCATGCATGAGGTCCTGGGTTCGATTCCTCAGCACCACATAAACAGAAAAAGCCGGAAGTAGTGCTGTGGCTCAAGTGGTAGAGTGCTTGCCTTGAGCTGAAGAGCTGAGGGACAGCGCCCAGGCCCAGAGTTCAAGCTCTACAACCAAAAAAAAAAAAAAAAGATAAAAGACAAGAAAAAAGTTCTAACAGTTGCTTTGCTTTACATCTAAACCATATGCCATTAATTTGTAAAGAAGGACACAATTACCTATCTTCCTACTTCTACTTAAACAATGGAAAATAATGAGTTGAGCTGTGGGCTTTTTTTTGGGGGGGGGCAGGGAAAGTATTGGGGTTTGAACTCAAGGCCTCATACTTCCTAGGCAAGGTGCTCTAGGCACTTCAACTACAACTCCAGCCAAACTGTGGGTTTTCTAAGTACTATATAGTTATCTTCTGAGAGTTTAAAGAAGACCAATGAATAATCCATCCATGGGCATGACTCAGAACTTCTGCACTGACTCTTTTCTAATCACCTAAAGTTCAGATATCAAAATAATCCTCATCCTAAAACAGAAAATGCACAGCCAATTTTTTTTTTTTTTTGTCGGTTGTGGGGCTTGAACTCTGGGCTTGGGCGCTGTCCCTGTGCTCTTCAGCTCAAGGTGAATGCTCTACCCCTTGAGCCACAGCGCCATTTCCAGTTTTCTAGTAGTTTATTGGAGATAAGAGGCTCATGGACTTTCCTGCCTGGGCTGGCTTTGAACCTCGATCCTCATATCTCAGCTTCCTGAGTAGCTAGGATTACAGGCATGAGCCACCGGCGCCTGGCACAGCCAATTATTTAAAGCCTTAGTTTCTAAGAATATTTCTCAAGTATGTACTGGGAGAAAATGGCACTCTCTTAGGCTAAACTTTGTCAAGCTCAGACAATCTTGATATGAACTTTTAGGAAGGTCCTCAGAAGATACTGTCAGTATTATAAACCCAATATATATATGTGACATTAAAGCTTCAAGACTGACCCAACAAACAGCAATACCATGGGCGTTCTTAGAGCACTATGGAGGTCAAACAGACTCATACACAATTTTATTCCTACTCCTGATATTGCCTCAGTATGGAAAATGCAGTTGGATTAACAAAGAGCTAAAAAACATTCTGCCAGGCCAGGGAGATAAGGGGAAGCATGACCAGTTCATAAATGTCTTGGTATGTGCATCTGTAAAGACACAATCAACTTGTACAAGGCAATAGTTGTCCCAAGTAAGTATTAAGACAGAAGTCTAATGATCCAGTAATGATTACCAGTTCTTAGCTCCAAAGGTAAAAAAAGATAAAACTCTGAAAAGTAAAAAGAACCTTCTAGGAGAAACCTTCATTACATTTTCAATGACTGTTCTTACCCATCACAGTGCCTTTGAGTTCAATTTATCCTTCTCAGAAAGGCCATGCTCAAATTGGAACATTCCTTTAACCTACCTTTCTCTAGCCAAGTCTTCCCTGGGAAAGATTAAAGCCACACTTCCCCAAATCTCATTCCTCCATAACTTATAAATCATTCTGACAGTTATTTACTGTACTTTCGCATTGATCTCCCTATTTTTGTTCTGTCTCCAGAAGGTATAGAGGAAACATACAAACTGAGGTCCTCCTGTAAGCTAGTCCCGGAAAAGAAGTTGAAGGATGGGGAACGTACAGCACAAAATTTTTCTTGTGAACTTAATCAAATACATATGGTATACATGTTCTCTTGGGTATAAACAATTTGCACTAGTTAATTATCAGCAACATAACTCAAAAAATGATATATCAAATTCTAATGTAACAACTTAAAAGCAGACAGTACTCCACTGGGTTAATAAATCAGAATCATCTAAGAGATAATACTTTAAATATCAATCATTGAAATTCCTAGTAGACATAATTCCCCTCCTCAGTTGCATTTAAAAACAACAGTCATAACAGGAGAAAGAGCAAATACCATGCTCATGATTGCAGTTTACTGGACTGTGGGGATTAAACAATGCAGTTCACAGATAAACACTTCTCATCTTCCCTTCAAGTTACTGAATCTTTCTTCTTCCGGAATGGTGATTTCAGCCTCTTCCAAACACTGCTTTTGGGTTTAGATTTTTTCTCCATGGCCAGTACCACCTCCTTTTCTTTCCTACGTATCTCTCGTACAAGGGCATGGAAAACATCATCAATGTAGTAGCGGTATGCAGCAGACGTTTCAAAAAAAGGACAGCTAAATTCTCGGGCCAGAGCCAATCCTTCTTCCTTGGTAACCTTTAAAAGAATAAACATGAGAAAGTTTATAATGATGTAATGGAACACAATTACAACTATGGAAAAGAGTGAATGGGGATGGGTGCTGGTGGCTCACACGTGTAATCCTAGCCACTCAGGAAGATAAGATCTGAAGATTGTGGTTCAAAGGCAGCTGGGGAAGAAAAGTTAATGAGACTCTTCTCTCCAATTAAACACCAAAAAAGCCAGAAGCAGAGGTGTGACTCAAGTGGTAGAGTACCAGCCTTGAACAGAAAAAGCCAAGCAAGAGCTTGAATCCAGGCCCCAGTATGCATCATTTAAAAAAAAGAAAAAGAAAGAAAACCAATGAGCTAAATACTTTAATAGGAAGAAGACTCAATTCCTCAGCTGTGGATATGTGACATCAGAGAGCAGGAAAACAGGGACTTACATAATTTGAAGAGTGGATACATGATATATGACTTCTTTTTTTTTGGGGGGGGAGGGGTCAGTCATGGGGCCTGAACCCTGGGCCTGGACACTGTCCCTCAGCTCTTCAGCTAGTGCTCTACCACTTGAGCCACAGTGCCACTTCGGCTTTTTCTGCTTATGTGGTGCTGAGGAATCGAACCCAGGGCCTCATGCATGCAAGGCAAGCACTCTACCACTGAGCCACCTTCCCAGCCCCCTCCCCCCTCTCTCTCTCCTCTCTCTCTCTCTCTCTCTCTCTCTCTCTCTCTCTCTCGTATGTATGTGTGTTAAGTGTGTTAGTACCAGGACTGATACTCAGTGCATGCAGCTCACCTCTTTTTTTGTTTTTATCAGTCATGCGGCTTGAACTTGGGACCTGGGCGCTGTCCCTGAGCTCTTTTGCTCAAGGCTAGTGCTCTACCACTTTCAGTTTTCTGGTGATAAATTGGAGATAAGTTTCTCGTGAACTTTTTGCCTGAACTGGCTTTGAACTGCGATCCTCAGATCTCAGCCTCCAGAGTAGATAGGATTACAGGTATGAGCCACCAGTACCTGACTCTTGCTTATCTTGATTGTACCTGGCTGGTGCTCTGTCACTTGAGCCACACCTCCAGCACAGCTTTTTTTTTTGTCAGTTGTGGGGTTATACTCAGGTCTTGGGTTCTGTCCCTAAGCTCTTTTGCGCAAGGCTAGTCCTCTGCCACTTTGAGTCACATCTCTACTTCTGGCATTTTGGTAGTTAATTGAAGGTAAGAGTCTCAAGGATTTTCCTGTCTGGGCTGGCTTTGAACCTTAATCTTCAGATCTCAGCCTCCTGTGAGCTACTGGCGCCTGGCACAGTTTTTTGTTAATTGGAGTCAGAGTTTCTTGGACTTTTCTGCATAGGATGGCTTCAAACTACAATCCTTCCAATGTCAGCCTTCTGAGTAGGTAGGATTTCAGGCAAAGGCTCTATGTAGCTCAAGCTAGCCTCAAACTCATGATCCTCCTGACTGCCATGTGCTGAGACTATACCCAAGTGTACCATGGCCATTCTCAAACAGCAAAATTTCAGTCATTGCTACTTGAAGGTATCATTTATTCTAAAATCTTCTACAATTAGTCTCAGTTTCCTCTTCCTGGACTAAGAATTCTCCTCAGTAATATACCATAAAATCTGATCTTAGTTTTTCCTGTTGTAACATTAACATCTATTTCCTGAAGTTTTAGGAAATGAACATTATACAACCTTACATTTAATGGGTTTTCTATTTGTCACTGAATTATAATTTTATGGATTCTGTCCTGTAAGCTGATTCCAAAAATCCAGATATTATTCATAACAATACCAAATTAGGAGTTATAGAGAAATTTTCAGATAGAAAGAAGTTAATTTTTATTTTCTATTTTAAGGCAAAGAAATTTGTAAACCAAGAAACCAAAAATGAATGATGCCACAAGATTATTGATGTCTTCGTTGTTTCCCTTACCTGTCTTAGCTGTTTTAGATCAGATTTGTTTCCTACAAGAACCACAGGTGTATCATCAGTACGTCGAACTCGATAAATAAGCTGTTTAAATTCCCGAACTTCATGGAAACTTCGGCGATCAGTGATAGAGTAACAGATGATAAACCCTTCTCCTGCCCTCATATACTGATCCCGCATGGCTGTAAACTCTGCCTAGAAGGAAACAAGGGTCAATAATATATTGATGCAACTTAGAACTGCTATTTATTTCAGATAAAGAAGTGGCATGTCAATTACCTGCTATCCTGAGTCAGAGTGCATGAAAAATTAAGAGACAAACTAGTGACCTTCTCTGAATAAACCTTCCCCTCCCTTTTGTAACAGTGAAAAACTCTACGTGTAGCATTCTGGGATTTAATACCTGTCCAGCTGTATCCAAAATGTCCAGATTGGCAGGCTCATCATCAATGCGGATCCGGATTTTATAAGCATCCTCTACAGGAGGGAAGAAAGGTATAACATAAAACTATGCATGCAGTTGGAAATATCTATTTGAAAGTTCATCTTAATAATGAAACCCCTTATATTGCACAATTAATATGTGCTAATAAAAATTGTGCTGCTCATGCCCAGGTAAAAGTGTTTCAACCACTAGCCTTGAGCAAAAAGGCTCAGTCAATGCCTCGGCCCTAAATTCAAGGCCCAAAGACTATATATTTAATTATATAAATATATATTATAATCCCTCTTTGTTTTTGTGTGGTACTAGGGATTAAACCCAGGGCCTTTCACATGTTAGGCAAGCACTCTACCACTGAGCTGCATCCCACCCTTTCTTTTCATTTTCATACTATAGAAAAAAGGTTATAGGAGTGGTTCAAGCAATAGAGCACCTGCCTGGTAAGAGTAAAGCCCAGTACTGCCAAAGACAAAAAACTACAAAAACAGAAAAAAAAACATAATTTAGTTCATTGTTGTCTAAATAGTCCATATAGTCATAATTCTTTTTTATTTTTTGGGTCCAGTCATGGGTGCTGTCCCTCAGCTCTTCAGCTCAAGGCTAGCGCTCTACCACTTGAGCCACAGCGCCACTTCTGGCTTTTTTCTTTTTGTTTATGTGGTGCTGAGGAATCGAACCCAGGGCTTCAAGCATGCAAGGCAAGTGCTCTACCACTGAGCCACCTTCCCAGCCCCTCATAATTCTTTTTTTTTTGGGGGGGGTCTGGTTGTGGGGTCTGAACTCTGGGCCTGGGCGCTCTCCCTCAGCTCTTCAGCTTAAGGCTAGCGCTCTACCACTTGAGCCACAGTACCACTTCCGGCTTTTTTTTTTCTTTTTGCTTATGTGGTACTGAGGAATCGAACCCAGGGCCTCATGCATGCAAGGCAAGCGCTCTACCACTGAGCCACCTTCCCAGCCCCCCTCATAATTCTTTATAAAAGCAAATCTATGCATGTTTATTTGTTTGATTACTGCAGTATCAGGCACTGAACCCAACACTTCATGAAAGCAAATCTATGCATGTTTATTTGTTTGTTTATTGCAGTACAGGTACCTCAAACATGCTAGGAAAGCACTCTGCCTCTAAGCTACATTTCCAACTCCCATTTTTTTCTTTCTTTTTTGTTAGTTGTGGGGCTTGAACTCAGGGCCTGGGCATTATCCCTGAGCTCCTCAGCTCAAGGTGAGTACTCTACTCCTTGAGCCACAGCACCATTTCTGGAACTAGAATAAGAATTTCACCAACTTTCCTGTCCGGGCTGGTTTTGAACCTCTATCCTCAGATCTCAGCCTCCTGAGTAGCTAGAATTACAGGCATGAGCCACCAGCACCTGACTGTCCAGCTTATTTTCTGTGCATTACTATAGTAATCTTAGCAAACACAGAAAAGTAAAATGTAAGAGAAAAAATTCACTTAATACTTTCATTACTAAAACGACTGCTACTTATATATCAATGTATTTCCTTTTAATTTTTTTTTTGATACTGGCCCTGGGGGGGTCAGCTTTTTGCTCACAGCATACACAAGTTAAAGTTATAATTCTAGGGCTGGGAAGTTGGCTCAGTGGTAGAGTGTTTGCCTTGCAGGCATGAGGCCCTGGGTTTGATTTCTCAGCACCACATAAGCAGAAAAAAGCTGGAAGTGGCACTGTGGCTCAAGTGGTAGGGTGCTAGCCTTGAGCTGAAGAGCCTAGGGATAGTGCCCAGGCCCAGAGTTCAGCCCTCACAGTCAACCAAAAAAAAAAAAAAGTTATAGTTCTAATTAAAGTTTGTAGACAAACAAATTTAAAATAAAATGTACTGAATTATAAACTCAGTGCAGATACTTTGCCTTTTTTGCTTGCATTCTATCTCAGGGGTCTACCACAATGCTTGGCATATAACAACTCAAGACTGAAGAATTTGCTACTGCATATATAACACTTTCAGAAAAGTTACAGATTGGGAGCTGGGTACTGGTGGCCACAATTCAAAGTCAGTTTGGGTATATAAATCTGAAAGACTCTTTTTTTTTTTTTTTTTTGGCCAGTCCTGGGGCTTGAACTCAGGGCCTGGGCACTGTCTTAAGCTTCTCTTGGTCAAGGCTAGTACTTTATCACTTGAGCCACAGAGCCACTTCCGGCTTTTTCTGTGTATGTGGTACATACACAGGGCTTCATGCATGCTAGGCAAGCACTCTTCCACTAAGCCACATTCCAAGTCTCTGAAAAACTCTTATCTCCAATTAACTGGCAAAAAAAAAAAATGGAGGTGTGGCTCAAGTGATAGAATATCAGGCTTGAATGAAAAGAAATGGGGAAGGGTCTGAGTTCAAGCTCCAGTACTGGCACAAAACGAAAAAAGAAAAGAACTGATTGGGTGGAAAGGGAATAGATTGATTAAAAACAAAAAGTACCTTATTTGGCCATGAGTGCAGCTTAGTATAGTGATAGGAGTGCTGCTTGCCTAATACATAGAGTCCTGGTTTCAATCCCCAGTACCACAAAAGGAAACAACTGACACTAAAAAACAAACAAAACAAAACAAAAAAACCATATTCATATATATATGTATATGTATGTATATGTTTGTGGTTTTGTGTGTGTGTGTGTGTGTGTGTGTGTGTGTACACTGCAACTTAGGGCCTAAGGCTATCCCAGCATTCTCAGCTCAAGGCTGGTACTATACAACTTGAGCTGCAGCTCCACTTCTGGCTTTTTGGTGGCTAACTGAAGATAAGAGTCTCCTGGAGTCGGGTGCCGGTGGCTCACCCCTGTAATCCTAGCTGCTCAGGAAGTTGAGATCTGAGGATCACGGTTCAAAGCCAGCCCGAGCAGGAAAGTCCATGAGACTCTTATCTCCAATAAATTACTAGGAAACCGGAAGTGGTGACGTGGCTCAAGCAGTACAACGCTCGCTTTGAGCTGAAGAGCACAAGGACAACGTACAAGCCCAGAGCTCAAGCCCCATGACCGACCAAAAAAAAAAAAAAGTTTCCTGGATTTTTCTGCCTAGTGGGGTGAGGGTGGAGGTTCAAACCTCAATCGTCAGATCTCAGCTTCCAGAGTAGCTACGATTACAGGTGTAAGCCACCAGCATGTGGTATGACCCTGAGTTCTAAAGTGATACTAACTTATATACTGATTTTATTCATAGAACTACAATAGTTTGAATCCTAGACCAATGTTCTGAACTTGATATAATAAAACTACAGATTATAGCTCCATGGTAGAGTCTCTGATTTAGATTCCCAGAACCAGAAAATGAAACAAAACACCTATTACAATACATACCCCCCCCAAAAAAAAAAAACTCCACCAAAAAACAAAACAGGAACTGTTTCTATTTTGTGCTACACACACAAGCACACTCTGCATAAGCTGGGTCCTGCAGAATACTCACTGGCTTTGTAGAAAACAGCAGCTGAAGTCTGAACCAGAAGAAATCCTTCTGAGAATCATACTGAAAATAACATAGTATCCTCCCTCACTCCTACTTTTCTTTATATTAAGATGTAACCCCATAGGGCTGGAAAGGTGGCTCAGTGATAGAGCAATTGCCTTGCATGCATGAGGCCCTGGGTTCGATCCCTCAGCACCACATAAGCAGGAAAAAAAAAAAGCTGGAAGTGATGCTATGGCTCAAGTGGTAGCATGCTAGCCTTGAGCTGAATTGCTGAGGGATAGCATCCAAGCCCAGAGTTCAGGCTCCAAGACCAGACCCCCCCCCAAAACAAGATGTAACACCTGGGGCTGGGAAGGTGGCTCAGCGGTAGAGTGCTTGCCTTGCATGCATGAGGCCCTGGGTTTGATTCCTCAGCACCACATAAGCAAGAAGAAAAAAGCGGAAGTGGCACTGTGGCTCAAGTGGTAGAGCACTAGCCTTGAGGGACAGCGCCCAGGCCCAGAATTCAGGCCCATGACCACCGCCACCACTACCACCACCAACAACAACAACAAAAAAGATATAACCTCCTAGTCTGTGGGTATAATTCAAGTGGTAGAGCACTTACTTGAAGCTCTGAGTTCAAACTCCAGTACTACCAAATAATAACAATAATAATAACAACTCCCTAAGGATCATATTAGCTTTTTATTGTGGTTTAGAAATGACAGTGAAATTCTTAGTCTTTGCGGAGAATAGCACTTAAGAAAAAATTTTAAGGAAGTGGAGCTGTGGCTCAAGTGGTAGAACACTAACTAGCCTTAAGCAAAAAAGCTTAGAGACAGCTGGGTGCTGGTAGCTCATGCCTGTAATGCTAACTACTCAGGAGGCTGAGATCTGAAGATCATGGTTCAAAGCCAGCTTAGACAGGGAAGTCCATGAGACTCTTATCTCCAAAAAACTACTCAGAAAACCAGAAATGGAGCTGTGCTTCAAGTGGGAGAGTGCCCGCCTTGAGCTAAGAGCTGAGGGACAGCGCCCAGGCCCAGAGTTCAAGCCCCATGACCGACCAAAAAAAAAGATAAAGAAAAAAATTTAAAAAGAACAAACAAAATGACCCAGTGGCTCACACCTGTAATCCTAGGTACTCAGAAGTTGAGAGTTGGGATCACAGTTTAAAGCCAGCCCTGGCAAGGTAATCTGTGAGACTCTTATCTCCAAGTGATGCTGTCTGTGGTCAGTGATAGAGCTCTAGCCTTGAGGAAAGAAGTTCAGGGACAGTGCTTAGGCCCTGAGTTCAAGGCCCACAACTGACCAAAAAAAAAAAAAAAAGATCCCTTTACTAGAATTCTGCAAACAATCAGGAATTAAAGACTGCAAAAGACATGGGAGAAGCTGGGCACCAGTAGCTCATACCTATAATCCTAGCTACACAGGAGATTGGGATTATAGGATTGAGGTTCAAAACCAACCTGGGCAGGAAAGTCTGTGAAACTCTTATATCTAATTAACCACCACAGGAAGTGGTGCTGTGGCACAAGCAGTAGAGCGCTCGCCTTGAGCTGAAGAGCACAAGGACAGCGCCCAAGCCCAGAGTTCAAGCCCCAGGACAAACAACAACAACAAAAACCTAATTAACCACCACAAAGCTGGAAGTACAGCTGTGTCTCAAGTAGTAAGAGTGTTAGCTTTGAGAGAAAAAATTCAGGGACAGTGCCCTGGTCCTGAGTTTAAGCCCCAGGACTGGCAAAAAAAAAAAAAAAAAAGACATGGGAGAATGGGAGAAGATATTACTATATACAAGGAAGTAAGTGAAGTGCTTCAAGTGGAAGAAGTCCAGGCCCCACATGCCTGGGTTGTAAGAGAGTTCAATAGGCTGGCTCTACTTGTTTTTCTGCTTCCTTTTGTGGAAGTTCAAATCAGCTGACTCATACTTACAGAGTTAATCTCTAGTTTGACCCTTAGAACTCTTAGCAAAAAAGCCTTCATTATATGGCCTTTAAGTTCTACTAACTATAAAAAATATGACAAAAAAAAGTTGTCTCACTAATCTTTAATCTAAAATAGAAACTAAAAGATGGCTTACATACAGAGTTAAATCTAGAAAAGGGAAATACTGTTGCTTACCAACTGCTGTGATTTGTTTCTCAATAAATCTGAATGCCAAAAAATGTTTAAATCTGAGTTAATGCCAAAATATAGTTAAAAAGCATTTTTAAAAACTGGCAATGAGCTTGGTGGCATATCACTATAATCCCAGAACTCAGAAAAAGCATGAATTTGGAGTCAGCCTGAGTTATACAGCAAGACCCTGTCTCAAAAAATATAACAAAATTGATACTCACTAAGATATTAAAAGAAAAAAAACCTAACCGGGTACTGGTGGCTCATACCTACTCAGGAGGTTGAGATCTGAGGATCACAGTTCAAAGCCAGGCCAGGCAGTAAAGTCTGTGAGACTCTTATCTCCAATAAACCACTAGAAAACCAGAAGTGGCATTGTGGCTCAAGAGGTAGAAGGCTCACTTTGAGCTGGAGAGAGCAGGGACAGCACCCAAACCCAGGGTTCAAGCACCACAACCGAGGGGAAAAAAACAAAAACAACAACAACCTGATAGTTTAATATGTTTGTAGATACAGGAGAAATGCAAGATTATTTTATTTATTTATTTATTGTTGTTCACGGTACTTGAACTCTGGGCCTGGGCACTATCCCTTAGATCTTCAGCTCAAGGTGAGTGCTCTACCACTTGAGCCACAGTGCCACTTCCAGTTTTATGGTGGTTTATTAGAGATAAGAGTTTCATGGCCTTTCCTACTCAGGCTGGCTTTGAACCAAAATTCCCAGATCTCAGCCTCCTGAGTAGCTAGGATTACAGGTGTGAGCCACTGGCACCTGGCCACCAGCTTATAATTTATACCTAAAACATTTATGAAAAGATGTGTGTGTGTGTGTGAGAGAGAGACAGAGAGAGAGAGAGAGAGAGAGAGAGAGAGAGAGTGTACAGGGCTTGAACTCAGGGCCCTTGAGCTCTCAGCTTTTTCACTTACTACTAGCTGAAGACATGCCTTCAGTTCTGGCTTTTTGCTGATTATCCAAAGAGTGTCTGGAAATTGTTTTCCTGGGCTGGCTTTGAACTGAGATTTTTAGATCTCAGCTTACTGAGTGTCTAGGATTATAAGTGTTAGCCACCAGTACCTGGTTACAAAAAGATGTTTTTTGTTTTTGTTTTGTTGGTCATGGGGCTTGAACTCTGGGCCTCAACACTGTCCCTCAGCTCTTCAGCTCAAGGCGAGCGCTCTACTGTTTAAGCCACAGAACCACTTCCAGTTTTCTAGTGGTTTATTAGAGATAGAGTCTCACGGACTTTTCTGCCAGGGCTGGCTTGCTTTGAACGGTGATCCTCAGATCTCAGCCTTCTCAGTAGCTAGGATTATAGGTGTGAGCCACAGGCTCCCGGCTTAGATGTTTTATTTTTCAAAGAAGTTTCCCCTATTTCTCTTTTCCATCTTCCTCCAAACAGTAAGTTTAACTTTATAGAGATAAGCTACAATTATATTTTTAAGTTTTATAACATCATTACTGTGTGTATGTGTGAGAGTGTGTTTGTGTCTGTGAGCTGATCCTGGGGCTTGAACTCTGGGCTGGGCATTGTACCTGAGATTTGTTGTTCAAAGCTAGCCCTCTACTACCTGAGCCACATAGCTCCACTTCCAGCATTTTTGGTAATTGGAACTAAAAGACTAATTGGACTTTTCTGCCCAGGATAGCATTAACCCATGATTCTCAGATCTCAAGTTCCTGAGTAGCTAGGACTATAGGCATTAGCCACTGGTGCCCAGCTCACACTACTAACTGTACTGTTTCAGAGTAAACTTTAGTGGATTCCAAGAGTCCAGCCAGCCAGGCACTGACTGGTGGTTCATGCCTGTAATCCTAGCTACTTAGGAGACTGAGATCTGAGGATTGTGGCAGGAAAGCCATGAGACTCTTATTTCCAATTAACCACCAAAAAGCTGGATGCAGAGCTGTGGCACAAGTGGCACAGCACTATTCTTGAGCAAAATAGCTCAAGGACAAAACCTAGGCCCTGAGTTCAAGCTCTCGTACCAGCACAATTTAGATTGCAATTTGAAGCCAGCCTGTGCAATAAAATCTGAGACTTATCTCCAATCAAACACCAAAAAGTGCTGGGCACCAATGGCTCACACCCGTAATCCTAGCTACTCAGGAGGCTGAAATCTGAAAATCATGGTTCAAAGCCAGCCCGGGCAGAAAAGTCCGTGAGACTCTTTTTTTTTTTGGGTCCGGTCGTGGGGCTTGAACTCTGGGCCTGGGCGCTGGTCCCTCAGCTCTTCAGCTCAAGCCACAGCACCACTTCCGGCTTTTTTCTTTTTGCTTATGTGGTGCTGAGGAATCAAACCCAGGGCCTCATGCATGCAAGGCAAGCGCTCTACCACTGAGCCAACTTCCCAGCCCAGACTCTTATCTCCAATTAACCAGAAATAGCACTGTAGCTCAAAGTGGTAGAGTACTAGCCCTGAGTGAAAAGCTCAGGGTCAGTACCCAGGCCCTAAGTTCAAGCCCCATGACTGACCAAACAAAAACAAGAACAAATAAACAGCAATGATAGAAATGAAAGCAATTTTAATGAAATTGCTTTTTTAATTAAAAAGGAATTCAAGAGGACATTAAATATAACTAAATGCACGTTAAATGTAAGACCACATATTTCTATATTAGTATGTAGTAAATATCTAAACTGTCTACCCAGAATTCTTGTCTCAGGATACATTCCGAGAAAATAACAGAGAAGGTGCTTCATATTACTAGGTCTACTTGCCATTTACCACCAAGATAGGGAAAATAGAGGGATATAGGCCTCCAAGAAGTTTCTGAAGAAATAGAGTAGAACTACAATGATAATATAAGGAATGTAACCCATTCCTTGTATTTCCTTGGTTTTTTTCCAGGTGGGAGCCCCTAAACACCACCAAAAAGTCCAAAAAGCAATGTCCACACTTTCCACTAAGATATTTGGAGAGGCTCTGACTTACCAATGGTGGGATCATGATCCTCTGGGAATCGGTGGCTGATGAACTGCATGGTCATGGCTTCAAAACAAGAGATGAAAGTTAAGGAATATTAAGTGCCAACTTTGCACAATAGCCTGTATCCCATCCGGTTTGGGAAGAGGCTACATGTATCACATACCGCTTTTCCCCACACCACCAGCGCCCAGCATCACTAGTTTGTACTCTCGGGACAGTCCTGCAGGGCTGCTACAGCAGCTGGCAACTGGGCGAGCTCCAGAATCCATTGTCCCCTTGCGGAATCAGGGGCCACCCTGGGGAAGGGCCACCTAGAACAAGTAGAAATGATTTAATGGAGACGCCCTGACGGCAGTCCTAGAAAGCTCTACCTTCTCATACATTCCTGCCTGTCAGTCTTGATCAGAACTCAATCCTTTCTGGCAGCCCTGAGAAAGAAACTCCACCCTCTCTCCTAGACTGTTCAGTCCTGTGACACATCACAGGTTTTGGGATTTATTCTTCTGGAAAGATAAGAAGACAGAAATTTAGAATTTCTTTTCAAAACAACACCCCGGTAGGAAAGGAACCGAGTGAGGATGAGACCGCAGGACCAAAAGGCTGCCCCGTGGGCCACAGCAGGGTCCTTTGGTACCGGAGGTCCCGCCTACTCCCTGTCTCCCGAGAGCCCTCCCGGCCCGCCGCCATCATCTGCCCCACTGCCAGGTCGCCCCAGCTGTTCGTACCCTTGGAGCAGGAAGCCTTCCTGATCACCCAGGAGCTCCTTCGCTAGCTGGAGACACGGGAGGTTCGGGCTCTGACCTGTGACCCTCCCATGGCTGGGTAAGATGGCGCCACCAGCGTCCCAATGGGAGGGGCAGGGCAGCCCAGCGCCGCCCAGCGCCGCCCCGCCTCCCTACCCAGGTCCATAAATCTAGCTCCGCCACTGGCTAAGGCAGGGCCCCTGCCACCTATTATTCTCAAGGTTTGCACATACATAAGTGGATGTTGCTTCAAGGAAGCAAATTTATCAAAGTAGGGAAAGGAGCAGGGGACTTCCAAAACGAGTAATTTAGGGCTAATCTGACCAAATTTAACCCCCTAACAAGGAAATGGGGCAACCTCCCACCACTAAAGCATGTATGTATGGCTTCCTAGTATGTTTCCCATTGTTATTTTTTTTAAGTTATTAATTGTATTGATTGTATATTTATTCTTTGGACAATGTCACCCGCTCTTTCACTTCCCGATCTCCCCCTCCCATCCCATCCCTGCCCTCAAGTCACATAGTTCATATTCCACATAGTGTATACTGAATACCATGACTGTATTTGTTCACCTTTTCTCCCTCCCTTTCTGAGCCCTTACTACTCTAAAGAACAAAAGAAAGTAACCAAGTGAGTTATTCTTAAAAACAAGACTAAGTCTCTAAGATGTTCACATTACCTTAGTTACAATGCTGTGCACCTTTTAAAAAATGAAAATTTTGTTTTAAATATATGGTTCTGGGCACTGATGGCTCATGCCTGTAATCCTGGCTACTCAGGAGGCTAAGATCTGAGGATCACGGTTCAAAGCCAGCCTGGGCAGGAAAGTCTCTGAGACCGTTTTTTGTTGTTGTTTGTGGTTGTGGGGCCTTAACTCTGGGCCTGGGCACTGTCCCTCAGCTCTTCAGCTCAAGGCTCGCACTCTACCACTGGAACCAACACTCTGCCACTGAGCCACTTTCTCAGCCCCTGTGCTGGTTTTAACAAGGTTCCTTTCACCCAGCATTAGAGTAGCTAGGATTACAGATGTGAGACAAAACTGCCTAGCATGGGGAAGTTTTTTTTTTGGTTGTGGGGCTTGAACTCTGGGCCTGGGCACTGTCCATCAGCTCTTCAGCTCAAGGCGAGTGCTCTACCACTGGAGCCACAGTGCCACTTCCTACTTTTTCTGCTTATGTGGTGGGCCTCATGCATGCAAGGCAAGCACTTTACCACTGAGCCACCTTCTCAGCCCAGTCTGTGAGACTCTTATCTCCATGCAGGCACTAGAAGAAACTACACTGGGATTTCCTATGTGACTTTTGCAAATTGGTTTCCTACTAAATATCTTCCCTGGGCTGGGAAGGTGGCTCAGTGGTAGAGTGCTTGCCTTGCATACATGAGGCCCTAGGTTCAATTCCTCAGCACCACATAAGCAGAAAAAGCCATATGTGGCGCTGTGGCTCCAGTGGTAGGGTGCTAGCCTTGAGCTGAAGGGACCGCACCCAGGCTGAGTTCAAGCCCCATTACTACCACCACCAACAAAAAAAACAGCACAGTAAAGTTCACAAGATACTATCTCAACAATAACCATAACAATAACTGGAGGCATGGTTCAAGTAAGTGGAAGCATAAGGTCGGGAGTTCAAATTTTTTTTGGTCGGTCGTGGGGCTTGAACTCTGGGCCTGGGCGCTGTCCCTCAGCTCTTCAGCTCAAGGTGAGCGCTCTACCACTTGAGCTACAGCACCACTTCCAGT